CCCGAAGCCCCGGTATCATTCCCGAGCCCCGAAGCAAGTCCCGAGGTCCCGAAGATCCCGAGAATTAAGATTCCCGATCTGAAGCTCTGCTCGCGAGGAGCCCGGTTTTTGTGAAGATCTTCCAGATCTGCCGAAGAATACTACTTCTACAAGCCGTAGTGTTGTCCGATCATCTTCTGATCAAGTGAGTGTGTAGTTACTTTCTTCTAACGCATAATTATGAAGTATTTTATACGAAATACATGTTATATGTATAATTTTGTTGTTATGTGCGTGAATATATATGCACTCTCTTCTATCTCATAGATCTGATTTGTTTTCTATGAAATACGTGTTATGTAGGTGTGCCTCATCTGTTATGTGGAATATGTATTGAATGAAAATGCTATACAAGTTTTAAACTATGTATAAAAATATATATTTTATCTACTAATATGTTGTGTAGAACATGGGTAGATAGTTGGTGTGTAATAAACAGATGAGAGGCCTCGATGTTGTTGTTGTTGATCTAGTTATTCAGCGGAGTATGGATAACGACCACAGACTCCTTCTAGACAGTCTTGTGGAACGCTAGCAGGTTTATAACCTGTAGGTGTTGTGAACGATGTGTTCACCGGTGTACTCTATCCCCTTCATGGTTGCCTTTAGGATATCTATTGTAGAGGAAACCCCTTAGCAGTAATGTCCATCCCGATGAAAATCCTAGATTAGGTCCCTTGAGATAGATGTTGTTTTAGGGACGTAAAGTGAGGATAACGGGAATGGGTAATCAGGATAGTGATTGGTTGGTGAAATTAAATATAATTTATTTATTGTGGGTTGAAAACCTTATATGCTCACCAGGCTCCCAAGCCTGACCCACTCAGTTTTATTTGTATTACAGGAAGTGGCGCAAGGGCGTAAGATGGATGAATCATCGAGTTGTTTTGTTTACAAGTCTGTATATGTATATATTTGTTGAATGTCTTGTAATGTTATCGTTTATACTTTATGGTCTGTATCGGAACATGACATCCCGAGTTTTGATTATATAATGAAAATGCATCTCTTGATGGAATGCTTTGATAGATATTATTTTATCATGTTTTGTTTTGGGAACAAATTCCTCAACACTTTTAAATCAAAAGGATTTACTCTGAAATTGTTTTAAAAAGCATAAATGAAATCGGTGTTTTCTGGCCGTGATTTTGGGGATGTCACATGCAACTTCCACCATCATGGGAGTGTCGAGAGCTGAGTTGCACAAGGTGAAATTAGAAAGGCCATACCACAAAGTATTGTAGGACTCGGCTTCAACAGAACCAAATGACAAACAACAACAATAACAACAACAGTAACAACAACAATGCCAATATTGGAGCTAGCTGTACCTATTACGGATGTGGGAGAATGGGCCATATCAAGCGAAACTGCCCCAACACAAACAACCAAGATACAGGAACAGCAGGGAGAGTTCTGACGATGGGTCGGGGTGAAGCAGTGCAAGACCCAGCCATTGACACCGGTACGTTTCTGCTTAACAACTCATATGCATGCAATTTATTTGATAGCGGAGGAGAGCAAAGTATTGTGAGTAATAGGTTCAAACATTTACCAAACAACAACCCCAAAGGCTTAATGAAGCCTTCACGGTGGAAATGGCTAATGGGAAGACTGAATCAACTAAGGATATATATATATATATATATATATATATATATATATATATATATATATATATATATATATATATATATATATATATATATATATATATATATAGGGTGTACACAAACTCTAAATAATCACACCTTCCAAATAAACCTAATGCCTGTAAATATTAGGAGTTTTGATGTGATCATCAGCATGGATTGGTTAAGCCCCCATCATGCCGATATTATGTGTCACGAGAAGGTCGTTCGCCTTCATCTTCCTAACTATGAAACCCTAATAATCTATGGAGATAAACCCAGTGCAAACCTTTGCCTTATCTCGAGTATCAAGGCGCATAAGTGCTTACAAAAGAAGAGCGATGCATTCCTTGCTCACATGGTGGATAAGACCAAAGTGGAAGCGAGCATTCAAAACATTTTGGTGGCATTTGACTTCCCGGATGTGTTTCCAGAGGAACTTCCTGTAATACCCCCAGAATGACAAATCGAATTCTGAATCGACCTAGTGCCTGGAGCCGCTCCAATTGCCAAATCACCCTATAGGTTGGCTCCTGTTGAAATGCAAGAATTGTCAAGTCAACTAAGTGAACTCTTGAATAAAGGATTCATTAGACCAAGCTTCTCTCCATGGGGAGCTCCGGTTCTTTTCGTTAAAAAGAAAGACGGATCCTTCAGAATGTGCATTGACTATAGGGAACTGAATAAGCTCACTATCAAAAACTAGTACCCGCTTCCACGGATCGATGATCTATTCGATCATCTCCAAGGAGCTAGTTACCTTTCTAAGATAGATCTGAGATCCGGTTATCATCAACTCAAAGTCCTAGATGAGGACATTTCTAATACTAATTTCCGAACTCGTTACAGTCATTACGAATTCGTCGTGATGCCCTTTGGTCTGACAAATGCCCCCGTTGCATTTATGGACCTCATGAATCGAGTCTGCCGCCCATATCTTGATAAATATGTAATCGTTTTTCATCGATGACATCCTCGTGTACTCGTGAAGTGAAGAAGATCCTAGCCAACACCTCCGACAGATCTTATAGACCCTTCGAGTTGAAAAGTTATATGCGAAACTTCCCAAGTGTGAGTTTTGGCTCCGCAATGTGAATTTCTTGGGACATGTAGTTAGCCAGGAAGGAATCCATGTAGATCTCTCCAAAGTCAAGGCCATTGAAGGCTGGGCGATTCTAACAACGCCAACGGAAATTCGTAAATTCTTAGGACTCGCAGGCTGCTATCGAAGATTCATTCAGAATTTTTCTAAGATAGTCAAACCCCTCACCACATTGACACAGTTGGGTGTACCATTCAACTGGACGGAGAAGCAAGAGATCTCTTTTCAAACCTTGAAGCAAGGCCTCTGTAGTACTCCAGTGCTATCCTTACCGGAGGGAAACCGTAGACTTCATAGTTTACTGTGATGCTTCGAATCAGGGTTTAGGTTGTGTTGTTATGAAACGCGGGAAGGTAATTACTTATGCATCCAGACAACTGAAAACTCACGAAGTGAATTATGCCTTGCATGACCTGGAATTGGGAGCGGTGGTCTTCGTCCTGAAAACTTGGAGGCATTACCTATACGGTACCAAGTGCACCATCTTTACAGACCACACGAGCCTCCAGAACATTCCAAATCAAAAGGAAACTAAACATGAGGCAGAGGAGATGGATCGAACTGTTAGATGACTATGAGAGCGAGATCAAATGCCATCCAGGCAAGGCTAATGTAGTAGGCGATTCCCTGAGCCGAAAGGAGTATTAATGTCATCATGTAAAGACTCTATCGATCGCCATCCAATCTCCCCTAGCCTCATAGATCAAGGAAGCCCAAGTAGATCGCCCCTATGATGGGCCGAGGTGGGCAACTAGCAAAAGAGGATTCGTCGGCCAGTGGTCTTATAGGACCCAAAATCATTCATGAAACAACCGAGAAGATAGTCCAAATCAAAGCTTGACTTCAAGCATCGCGAGACCAATAGAAGAGCTATGCTGACAAGCGGCGAAAGCCACTAGAATTTCAAGTCGGAGATCGCGTGCTATTAAAGTTATCTCCATGGAAGGGGATGATTCGCTTTGGGAAACGAGGAAAACTGAAACCACGGTACATTGGACCATTCTAAATTCTTGCATGGATTGGTCCAGTGGCTTACAGACTACAACTATCCGCCGAGCTCAGCAACGTAAATCCAGTGTTCCACGTCTCGAATCTGAAAAACTATCTATCAGATGAAACCCATGCCATCCCATTAGAAGAGATTAAGATAAACGAGAACCTCTTGTTCGTCGAAGAACCAATTGAGATTATCGATAGGGAGGTAAAGCGTAGAAAACAGAGTCGTATCCCAATCATGAAGGTTTGAGAGCGTTAAGCGAGGACCGGAATTCACATGGGAACGTGAAGATCAGATGAAGCAAAAGTACTCTCACCTATTCTTTCCTTCACAATCCTAGTTTTCAAAAGAATTTCGGGACGAAATTCCTTTTAACCGGGGGGTGGGGGTGATGTCACAACTGGCATTTTAGCCTGGAAATTCTATTCTTGTGTAACCATTTGACTATTGTAAAACTTATATTCTAAGTAAATCTCACTTAATGCACCTTTAGATTCACCATTCATTTCATCAAAGAGTCTAAAGCCCTAAGATCCATGGTTTAAGTCCATGGTGGACTAGGAGTTCCTTATTAGGACTAATGGACCAATAAGTACCCAATTCAACCTCATTGGACATAGAAGCCCTAATTGGATCCTAATTGGACCGAATTCATAAATCTAAAACATTTTGGACCACTTGGGTCTAGAATGATTCATTCTAGCCCTAATGGGCCTTATTGGGCCATAACTAATCCAATTAACCTTAGTGAACCATAAGCCCCTCTTTTTTAATCTATTTGGGTCGTAACCCATGTAAGGAGCCCATTGGGCTGAAAATAATGATTGGGGCCTTATAGTTTCAAACCAATGCAAGAATTGGACCCAAACTACCCTACCCATTCC